TTATAATTTTAAACTAGGCTGAATGTACGTAAAGCTATACCAATGTATGAGATCTCTCTTCTGTTAAAAAATTGTCTGTACCTTTTGTGCCTTGCCTCCAAATAAATTTAATTAATTTATTAATCAATTTCGCAAAATCGCGTTAATTTTCAAGTTTCATTGTTTTTATTCCAAATTAGAAAACTAAGTAGCAACCAGCCCTCTACATTTAACAAAATGTACAAAGAAATATCAATATATAGTCACATCTCTTGCAAAGTAGAATGAGTGGTGCCTACAGTATTTTGATACACTGGACGCAGATAAGGGCGGGACTAACAAGAAAAATCCTTTTTGTGCCCAGTAGAACACTATTGTGTATTATTTTAGGAAGACACAGAATCATCACAGAACACATCGCATTTAATTTTCTGTCTTCATGTATATACAAGTTCCTAAGGCCATTTAAAATCCAGAAAAAACACCCAGAACTCGACACCACTTCCTTACCACTACGTTTGTGAGGGTGAATTTCCGCGCATGCGCGGCGGGTGGCTGCTGCTCGCGCACGTGGCGATTGCGATGCACTCTTGCGCACCATTGTTCGAAATGGGCCTGCGGGTCCCTATTTGAGGAAGTAATGTGTTTTTTTAGAAATCTTTAAAAATAGAATAAAAAACCCCAAGAGTTTTAAAACAAATTGATGAGAAGGATTTCAGATTGAATGTCCGCCGGTGTGTTACATAGTCTACTTCTTATCGTATCAATGGCGTACACTATAATGGTTGCCATCTTGGTGAAAGAAGTACATTAGCAAAGTACCTTAGTAAAGGAAAGGAATGTGTACGTCGTCCGGGGTGGTTCAACCGACTTGACCGAATTAAAAAAAATGGGAGGAGCTTCTCTTTTCACTTGCATTTCTTTTGTGTATATCACGCAATGACTTCGACATTTGTAGACCGATTCGATGATTCTCCTTTTGTTGGAAAGAGGGTACCTCACTAATGGTGCCATTCAAATTTGAAAAAATATTCCGCCTGTGGCAAACTAGGGGATGAATGAATTTTGAGGTCGGTTTTTTTAGTACTCTATACTGAGATTATTATGATACCAAGTAACAAGGCGCACAAGTCATGCGCATGGTGTTAAGCGACAGCAGTTGCAGTGTCACTCAGAGTTTTTAAATTACAAAGACCTGAGGCACATTGCGCCTGTCACCCTGAGACATAAGCAAGAAACACAGTCTCATTACTGGTTGGCGGCAGAAATTGGTAAAATTTTCCTGGACGAACTCTTTTACAAGTACTACTGCTGCTAAAAGTGTTACTTATTTACTTTGTGATTCTTTCCTCTTTCAATTTCGTAGCTGTTCACCACTAAATCTCACCATCCTACGCCACAATACTGTTGGAGACACTAGGTAAAACTTGAAAACCAGTAAATTGCTGAAGTTTTCATATCTTCGATACAGTATTATGGCATGTTTTGTGTTGAAGAATAAACACTTTTAAAAAATTGAAATATAGAACTACGTACGAACATTGACGGCAGCTCTGAGAATTGCTAATGGCGGACAAACAGAAATATCGCTTCCTAGAATAAAGGCTAATCACAAAAAACACCTAATTGATCAGGAAGATGATTTCCATCGAAAAAACACTGGCATATTCGACGCGCAAAATTGACGAAACGTACACCTGCCTTATTGTCAAGTGATTATTTTAATCAATGCAAAACTCAAGCGCCATATTCTCAATACAATTTAAGTAATTCAGCAGAGTATATTTACCTCAACTTTAAGAAAGAAATATGTATGGAGTGGATAATACCTCTCTCAGAATTATTGGTTTTGTATTTTATTCTATATTTTTTATATCTAATTAGCAAATGCTTTACTACAGTCGTGTGTTTAAAAGAAATGTTATGTAATTATATATGTTTTGTTTTGATTTTTTTACTATTAATCGCCTTTCTGTTGAAACAGTGACTCGACTTACATTTAGAGAATATACAGAAAACGAGTTAAAATTTTGGGTTATTGAGCACATTTCATGCCCTTGATATAATAGAGTCACACGTAGTGATACGTTAAAAGTGCTTTCGTCTCTCTGTGTTATTTGGATAGCCAAAACTTTGTCCACAACCTGTTTAACAACTCTATACGGGGCCCCGATGTAGAGCAGTATGCGAATTATAGCACGAAACTAAAAATCTCGATATTGCAAATTGAATCCTATGTGATAGAAGTGAGTGTTCAGTACAAAATTTATTTAGTTTCTTTTTTAATAAAAATTTATATTTAAATTGTAATATGACTGGAAAATTACAAAAGTATCACTATATTGTTAATTCTTCGTTTAATTAATTTAATAGTGGAACAAAAAGTTTACAACAGGTCTGTTATACAGCTTCCGCGTTCTTGGATGACAAAAATCCATACTAGTGTCCGTGACCTATTTAGCGATGCAGGTAATCTCGATCTATAATATTGTTAAAAAAAAATGTTTACAAATGTTTATTTACCAAGAGCAATCCCTCAATTTTCTGAATCATTCTTCACATGGTAAGATTCCCTTTATTAATGTGTTGTACCAATATGACGATTTCAAGTTCAAATAAAGATTATTTAATATTGAGTCTACAATCCAAAACCACAACTGATGTTAGCAACAGCCATGTAATCTGTTATTTAATTTGAAATGCTTATTGCTGCTTGCAATAACTATCAGATTTAAAAAATAAGTTATCGATTCGTTTTGGGCATAATCAATAAAAAAAATGGCAACACTAAAAGATATTTGTGAGTTTGTTAAAAAAAGCTGAGAGAAGAAAGTGAGAGTTCGTCCAGGGTACTACTGCCACCTTACCTATTTCTGCCGCCAAGCAGTAAGGGTGCTGGTGAAATTACAGACACATGGGACTTGTCAACTTATGTCTCAGGGTGACGGGCGCAGTGGCATTGCCCCTCAGATCTTTGCGATTTAAAACTCTGAGCTGGAACTGTTATGGATAGACGTGTAGCTTACCATCATCATACTTGATATTATATAAAAAAATTGCATTAACGGGCGAAAAATTGCTTCCCTGAAAATATATATATTTTACGGGTTATAAGGGATTACAATTAATATGTGTTATAGATATATTGTTTCATTTTAAAATTATATCTGTCTTTTTTTGAAGACGATGTAAAATGACTCTTAATTGCGCAAGAGTGTTTCCGGCTTGCGAGCAGCTAGTGATTGCTGTCGATAAATATTCTATCGACTATCAAGTAAATATTGGTTACGTTTATGGTATAAATAGCCGAACTTGTTTCATTTGAACCATCCTCGACCCATTATTCATCCAAATACTGACCACAAGTTCATTTGAATTGTCAATTTTTGTAAATGCATACGTATGATATGAATAAAAATTGATCGCGATATTGTTAATCAGAACAAAAATAAAGAAGGCGATAACGCAGTTAGTAACAATTAGAACGTCGTAACATTTGCATTTCAGTCTGTTTTGCCAAAATTTTATTTTCTTTTACAATCAAAATTATCGACAACAAGTAATAACTATTTAAAATTTTAAGAAAACTGGCAACCCTTCAAATGTCATTTTACTCCGTTTTCAAAAAGACAGACTTTATATGCTTATGCTTTTTACTGAGTTCTTTTTTATTCGGGGTACTATATCCATCGGGAGCCTATGTGGGTTGGCAAGCCCGCTTTTTTCTAAGCAGTCTCTTCCGGATCTAATTATCTAGCAATGTTGTTACAATTAATGTACAATACAGAACCCGGAACGCTAACTTCAATACTTACTTTGCTAAGGTTCACTTTGCAATACTATTTTAGATTACAACCCGACCAAAAATCAAAACATTTTACATCTCTACATTTTTCACACATTATAACGTATTCTACAATCGGTTGCGTTAACGTGAAAGGGCGGCACCCTCTTTTTACGCAGATATTTTTATACATTTTATAAAGCGTTGCTAATCTTCGAGGGAATGATGAATGTTACTTTTATTCGTTTTTGGTACATGTATTTTTCTTTTCTTTCTTAGTATTGCGTTGAAATGCAAACGGGTTTGTTTTGAGTTTAAATTTTGAAGCTTTTGCGTCATAGTTTTCATTGTATTGCAAGTAAGTTTTTGAAAAGTCATAAGTACAGAAATAGGTTTTTCTACTACATGAATATAACCAATTTTTGATGATGTGTTGTTATTGTTTATTTTTGGTCTACATCGAATTATGTGTATTTACTAGCAGTAGAGCTCCTTGTGAAATACTGCCATCTTACCTATTTCTGCCTCCAAGCAGTAGTGTGAACATTACTGCGTTCCGGTTTTGAAGGGTTACGGGTGCTGGTGAATGACTCATTGCCTGTCAGATCTTCGTGACTCGAAGTTCTGAGCGGTATTGCAATTGTTATGGACAGTCACTTAGTTATAATTAAAAATAAATTTACACATGCTCTTTCCAAATGGGGTAGGCAGAGACTACAGTATTCCACTTGCTACGGTCCTGATCTTTTGCCCCATCAAAACGCATCAGTGCTTTCATACACGCTCGTCGTTTAAAGGTACTCTTGAGCTGGCCCTTCTTTAAGATAGCCTCAATTTAATCATGATAAGTTCGCCTTGATCGACCCGTACCAACTTACCCGCTCACACGCGTCTCGTAAATCTGCTTCGTTAAATCTTCCTTCATTCATTTTCTCTACAAGTCATAACCACCTGAGCATCCCCTGTCTCTATCTCTGTAACTGAAGTTTATCAATTTATCATGAAATTGAAAAATAACGGATTACGATGCAAATTCATATAAGTAACAATCTAATGAAAGAGTATAAAAACTTGAAGAGGTCGTCAATAAACAAAAGAGTACCCTTCTCTACAGGAGGCCTGTCTCGCAGCCGTACGCACACATTCACACATCGGACCCGTACAAGTTACAACTTGCACTGCTCGGGCCACAGGCTGTGTGTCAGGCACAAAGTTTATTCGTCCCGCGCATTCGTCCGCCAACCGCCGCGGAGAGCGCACGCGTCGCTCTGTCGAAAAGAGTTCAGTGAACGAGTGTTGTGAATGCAAGGACTGTAGTCACCATGGTGCGCAGTCTGTCTCAGTGGACAAAGACCCTCAGCTTCCCAGCGAGGTTGTCTCCCAACCGCACGTCGAAAGAAAGCGTCATCAATGTCCAGCCAGCTTCCCCAGGAGTGTCACCGACTCCCAGCGCCTCGTCTCTCCCTCAAGGCTCCGACAAAACTATTTCTCCCATACCGATTACAGAGATCAGTCAAATTGTAAGTTCGCCCTTTTCTATTACTTACTAACGAGGGTCCTTCCCCTTTTTGTCTCCCTTCGTTATTTTCTCAAACGTGTGGAGAGTTGTAATGCGAATGCGGCTGCAATTCTGTTCTGCATTTAAAGTGCTTCATTAGTTTTAAAGTTTTATTGACAAGCTTGTAATTGCTTTTTCTGTCTAATACTTTTCTAGGACATTTAAGTATTTATCTTGTTTCAATTCATTATTATAACACATAATTACGATTCAAAATTTGATGTTCAGAATGAAGTTTCTCCAAAATCGTAATTCATGTCAATTTATATTTTAAAAAGGAATATTGCGAGAAAAAGTTATATGCATGTATATATATTGTTAGTCATTCTGTTAACATATTATTGATTTGAAAACATTCTCATATTGGCAGTGTGCATGATATTGTAATCAAAACAATAATATACCTGTTGAAATCAAAATACGTGCAGAATTATTGCACCACAAAACCGACACTTATTGCGCAATTACGTAACAATAAATAATTTTAAGCCTTACGCCACAATACCTAAGTAAGTAAGTAAATTTGTAAACCATTCTTTGAAAAATTTTCGTCACTATTGTTTAAGTAGACCAACAATACTCGAATTAGCCTTTGTTTACAAATATAATATATATATTTCGACGTGGAAGGGTGTCACAGTTAGAGTTAACTGCTTTTCTATGGCAACCTTACGTGATTCAAATGTAAAATGCAAGCGTTACCTTATTAGCAAATAATTATTACGGAAATGACAGGGACGTGTCATGATTTTTTGACAAGTCCTATCACATTTTAAATATGCATACGTGTCTGGTTTTGTTTGTAAGTGTGGCTGTTTGTAATGCAGTAAAGTACCGATGGATGCCTTGTTGGCGAGTTTCATCGGATATCGTCTCGTTTGGTAGTGAGGTGGTGTGAGTGCGCGGGCGCAGCTCGCAGGCAGACTCACCGTTATGTCCCCCTTGCATTCACCTTGGCAAGGCCGTGGATGCGAGTTTTTGCAAAGCATGAAAGCACATGACTTTCACCTTTAAAAACAGCCTTTCTAAATGCTGAAATCTATTCTATGATATGGAATTTAGGGTTCCCATTTTCTAGGCTGCTAAAACGTTTTGTTGGTGTATTATAACGTGACGTTTAAAAGTTGAACGAATCAGTAATAAGGTAAATAAATTTACCATTGTCTATTCAACAAGCGAAATCATTGAATATTTTCAAAAATACTGATGACTTAACTGCTTAGGCATTTTTATGTTTTAAAAGTTTGTTTTAGGAATTTTATTTATATAGTTTATGATATTCATTGTATATGTATTGGTTTTATTATTCATAAATATATGTATATTTTTCATATACCGTTAGCAATTCTTCATACACCGCTGTCTTTTTCCTGTGAGTTACATAATTACTTCCATCCCGAAGGTTGTCTGGCAGAAATCGCTTAAAGCGATAAGACCGCCCATTATGCCACTGCTTATTTTTAATTTAATTTAAAAGAAATTGTATTATACAACGGATGCAATGTAAAAGCTTGTTAGTGACAGTTTAATGTAATTTGCGGAAAAAACAAAAAAAAGAACCGCATATAATAATTACATACTAAAGTATGAAAAAATTTTACGTTAAACTTTACAACACATCCAATTCATAATTGAGAAGATCGTAAAAGTAATCTCGCACAAAGTAACGCGTGTATAAGATTTTACTAGTAAAAGTTCTCGGTTTCCACAATAAATCTTAACTTAATATCCATTGCAAAACTTTATTATAAATCCCCCATTGTTATTTATCGTAAAAATTTTATATGTGACAAAATATTACTAGTTTATTTTTATTTTAGTGACACTTACGGCTGACATCTTGTAGTTTATGTTTTCGACATCGAACTTGATAGTGTCACATAAACAAGACCAAAAATAAACATTTCCCAAAATAGTTGAAATAGAAATCATTACTTACTATGAAACTTCTATTCAGAAAACTTTAGTGTGTTAAAAAAGTCACTTATCATTAATAAGGGGCATTGTCTCAATCGGCAACGACAAAATGTTCACAATGACGTATTTAAATTGTATCGCTTTTGCTGAGGCGTCTTTGTTTTGTTATTAAAGAAAGAAGAAAGAAAGAAACATTTATTCGGCTATACACAAATAATATTAGAACATAATAACTAACACAAGATCTGTTAAAAAAACAAAAAAAAAGAAGATGACTGATAGACGACAAACTAAAATACACAATGCTAGCCTACAAGGCTAGCCAGTTCAGCTTTAAGCTGGGCAGAGCCTCAGGGTTTTCATCTGGAGCCTAAGGGCAGGTGGATGGTTTCAAATACTTAACATACAAATGTTAAATATTTGATGATTCTTTAGATGTGCATTGTGCTTTTAATAAAGCTATACATCACAATATAAAAACTAAAAAATGTTCACAATAATGATGTCTTTTTTTATAATATCAAGTGACGGGAAGAACAAGTCGAACGCCTGATGGTAAGCTACACGCCTGTCCGTAACAGTTGCAGTGCCACTCAGAGGTCAAACTCAAAGATCTGAGAGGCACTGCCACTGCGCCCTGAGACATAAGCTGACAAGTCCCATGTGTCTGAGAAATAAGTAATAATTGCGTTAAACAATGACTGATAAATAATTGTAATAATTAATACATATGATAGAATAATTTTAAATTAAATTAAAGCTGTCGCCGTTTATCTGTTGTATCAATGTTATTTCCTTTACTTTTCAACGGAAGCCCGATACAGACAGACTTCTCTAGTTAACGATGGTAGCTGTGAAGATAACCTCTCTGAATGAAGAAATAAATTTCTCACATATGGCGTTACGGCAAAAAAACTCAATAATAACTAAAAACAAAGTCAAATAATCATATATTCCATAGGCAAAATTTTTTACACTTCAAAACGTCATTTTTTAAGCTACTGCTCGTTCACTACGCCGAGCCATCTGAGAAGAACGAGCCAGAAACTCTAGGGATTGCTCTTTTCAAATAAACTTAAATGCTATAGAATACATTTTGAATCATATTTGTGTGGAATCTAGACTCACGTTGTCTTTCCATACATCTTTATCTAACACGTAGTCTACAATTTTGTAATATGACTTTTCAATTAAATACTTTTAATGTAAGTTTTAAACTTAGGAAATGGTAATCTTAATATATGCTCCGGAATCTTATTGTAAAAACATATACAGTTCCCCATAAAATAATCGTTTACTTTTTAAACGAAATCGTGGTACCATGGTTAATATAATGGATACCTTCTGAGATCAAAGATCTGCAAGAAGCACATAGAAAGCTTAGTAAGGTATGCTTGTTTGTTCCATGGCTTAATTGGTAGAGCGTCTGGGGGTGCTGGTTAGAATCCAGCCGGATCTAACGATTTTTTCTTAGTGTTTTAATGTTTGTTATAATTACAACAAACTAGTGGAGTCATTTCACAAAAAAGTAATTGAATATCACGGTAGTAAAACATCGTGACATTTAATAAACTTAAACAATTATATAAATTCTACCTTAAGTAACTTATCTTTACTTATATTTTTAATTAAACGTTAAATTTAAAGATTGTTTTTTATGCAGCTCTCTGCTACTCACGTACAATACTCATTCAATGTTATATTTTTTGTGACCGAGAGCAGCACGGCAAACCTGTAGTTTTTAAGTACAATAATTAAATAACAATGCCGTAAGAACAAAAGAAATTAGATACGGTTAACTTAGTTTTCAATATAACGAACAGTTTATGCCATTGACTGACATTTAATGGTTAATTATCTTTTTTATTCCTTATTGCTTATTTAAGTTCTTCAGTTAACAAGCACGATAATAATAATTAGAAGATTAAAAAATCTTTTTAGTTTCGTTTTTGAAGGACTTTGGAAATATTTAATTTGGCTGTCAGTACTAGGGTTTTCATTCCGGGAATATTGGTCTCGAAAATTTTTAGGGTCTTGACGATGTTTTGGCATTTTAAAGACTCGAGACCTGAGTGTAAATTTGTAATCATTCAAACTTAACTGCCGCGTTTGCGTTAAGATTTTTATTTAGATCTTAATTAAGGATGTAAATTAAATTAATAAAAGATATCAATTAAAAAGATTTTAATGATCTTTTTAATTTACACCTTAAGTTAGTTAAGTTTACGTAATTATTTCAAAACTTTAAAAGGCCCTTGATTCTTTTTTTGTTGGAAGGGGGCACTCAGCAGTGATCCCATTCAAATCTGAAGTAAAAGTTCCATCTTTAAGTGTGGCAAATTAGGACCCACTTTCCATTAACCGATTTCAATCAAACTTGGCGTCTAGAAGTAATTTTAACGAAAATAAAATGTTTTGGTGACCTAGTGCTTTTCAGTTATTGTTAAGTGGTCGTTACCACAGTGAAAACGAACAGGCATACTTTTACGCCGGTTTTTTTTATAAAAAAGTTTTTTTTTAAATTCTTGTTACACACACAAGACAATACTGTAGAATGGAGCACAATCTGTGGAGATTGAAGAATTAAATCAGGTTGTCTCTATCTGGAACTATATTAAAAGCCCTTTGTTGTTTCTTACGCGTCCACAAATAAAAATGATAAAAAAGTATTTTTTTAGGTAAAAACTTACCTTTAATATTTTTTTAATTTAAATATCACGTTTTGACTGCCTAAATGAATGGAATATAAAATTGAAAACCTGCTTTTGAAACAAACGTCTCGAAAGTCTCGTTTTTCCCGGGATTTTTGAGACCGGAACGCGGAAATGCTGAGGGACTGAAAGCCATGCTCTATGACTTCGTGTAACAAAAATAAATGATTCATGATCATCAGAAGAACGTATATTGATAAATACGTATAAATGAAATGTATGAGATGACAAAGCGTCATTACCTGACAAGCAATAAATTGAGAAATGAGCAATAAAAATTTCGTAAAGAAAGCCATTAATGCAGAGTGGCCATCTTGTATTTATTGCACGCGTC